CATTGTAGGTCATCATGCTTCACCAGCAGGGGTCATCATCTGCTCCATGCCAAACGGAAGAGCGGTGTACTTAACACACAGTGGGGCTTCAGTATTTTAAGAGCACACAATCTGTCATCTAGACACTAATCCTGGCCAGACTGGGTCCTGTCCATTAAAGTGTGTGACAGTTTTCCCAAATCTGCCACTGATTTGCAATAGGTAGAGGTAATTTCTGCTGCACTTACTGATGATGAACACGGCAGTGACAAATTATTGACGTATATAACGTTTTCATGCCTTATGAAGTGATAACTTGAGTTTTATTTTACCTCGTGATTTAAAAAGCTTTAATCTGGACCAAACAGAAACTGGCTCACAGCAGTGGCCCAAACGAGGGAAGGGCCAGGTGATGATTCCCCTCGGGAATCAAGGGTTGAAAAAGTGGGTGAGAAGCTTACATCACACAGCTGGTTTAAAAAAAAAAAAAAGGGGTTCCCTGCTCTTAATAGATGGCTGTGGCTGAAGAGCTTTCAGCTGGGGAGGGGGTGTTGCGTGAAGGGAGGATGGAAGCACCTGCAGCCTGAATGCGGGAACCAGCTCTTAAACCTCTTAGAAGCGGTTGGTCGCCACGGGAACAGCGGCAGGCCATGATTGGCCTTGTCCAACCCTGCTGTGCCCAGGGAGGAACTCTGTCAATCGTTAGATGGCGCACACACACACATAGCAAGACAGAGAGAAATTATGAAGTGGGACAAAAGTCCTGCAATTACAAATATGTACAAAACTGCACAGAAAATGTTTATGTCTGGTGGCTTTTGGAGCTCAATAAAATAAATAACTGTTTTCCAGTTACTCTCCCTTGCTTTCTGTCAACCCCCGTCTCCACCACCCTGCCCCAGACCCCTGCTGTGGCCTAAACAATTAGGCTATGTGAGACCCCCACTAACGACTCTCTCTTGTCTTTTAAGATAACTGCAGGAGGAGGGGCAGCAGTGGGTGACATCTTGTTAGGACAGAATCCTGTGGTCAGTCGCATGTGTATTGGGCTCAAGCAGAGGGTACCTAGTTATTACCCTACATAAAGAGTGTGTATGTTTAGATTGCCCCAGGTGAGATGTGAGCTAATACTACTGGTTCTTGTGAGAAGTGCTGCTTTTCTCAGCTTCATGGTGCACCCTCAGTAGCTCTGTCACGCCTCAGATGTCACCCTCTTTCTCACACTTTCCAGACCACTGTAAAGAAAGCTGTAAATCAATACTTTCATCACAAATCAGACTCCACCTTGTTTAGGACCAAATGATTCACACCAAATATAACAAACAAAACTTTTCCAGGCAGTAAAGTAAAAGGCATGTCCACAGTAATGTTGTTCAAATTTGCTGTTTGCACTGAAATGACAAAATAATTGGAGAATAAGTCTCTTCCAAAAGTACGTAGAAGACACTTGAATGAGATCACATGACATTCATATGTTTTCCTTGACCACACTAAAATGAAATAAATAATAATACTAATAGTGTGTAGACATGGCCCGAAGGACTGTAAGGTATCAAACCAACCAAGAACAATTCTGCTGCTCCCACAGAGCTCTACATGAAAAAAAGAAACATCAAGAAATAAGTCTTGATCAAACAAGGCATTTTACATTTTACCTTTTCAAAAGGACAATGATATATTCACAGTAGTTCAGGCCTTGTGCACCTATAAAATGCTGGAAAATGAAGGAGTTCAACATAATACTGTGAGTTGGCTTTATCATTCAGGCTTTTGTCAGTTGAAGATTTTGTCTTTTTTACATGGAAAGTGAAACGTTAAAAACATTGACTCATTTCACTTTGTGGTTTTCATTAGCAGTTTAATAAAGCCTCCTCAAGATGTAAGACCATAAACCACCACATGACTGAAAATGGCACAAATCTTAAGACCAGAAGCCCAGATCTGTTACATGGGGAGCAAGCAGGATCCTTTCTTTGTTTTGTTTGGCATAAATCAACAAGAGCACTGCTCCCGGAAGACAAACAGTTAAAATCCCTCACTAATGCTCATCATCATCTTTAGGTGTGAAATCAGTCAAGTGACAAGTGTGCCTAAATTTTGATGACCCTGGGTCAGCGTGAGGCCACAGCTCTGTGTTTACAGATGAGGTGACGGCACACGCCTCCATTCCTTTGAAATGTGACAAGGCGAGAGGAATGACAAGATAATCTCTGATTTACGAGTTACAGTAGCTTTCAGGGGGAAGCAGCCCAGCAAGGAGGTCTCCTGCCTGACCGCTTACAATACTTGTCAAAAATCAATGCAGCCATTTTAAGTCGCATGCAAGGCAAGCACTGATAAATGCGCTGACTGCACTATTGGAGTGCTGTGGCTTGGAAAATCAAGCCTTGCAAATTTAAAGAGTAGCAAATAAATAAATTCAACCAGAGAAGAAAAAAATATACATGCTCATTTGAGTTTATCAATAGTTACCTTCATTTTGAGCCTCAGTGCAACTGACTCAACACAGACGCATCTAATGTGGACAACAGTTTTAAAAAATTCAATGTGTATCTTTAAATGTTATTTAACCAGACAAACTGAGTGCTTGTCTTGTTTACATCAGTGGCAGGAGGGAGCGGGGAGATGGAAGGAAGCTGACCAGTCGAAAGCCCTGCAGCACTGATCGCTGGGACACTTCATTGGTGCAGTGGTAGGTTTACTGCCTTGCTCTGGGGCACTTTGATGGCCGTTGATGAGGGGTGAGTGAGGGGGTGAAGAAGGGGGTAAAAAGGGATTTTCATTCATTTCCTTCGAAGATACTCACAACTTATCTGGGGATTTCAATTTCAGACTCACAAGCTCTCTAACTATTAGCTAGGCTTACTTACCTTAGTCCATACAAACAAGGATGAACAACAAAAGACACGCGTAAACATGCAACTGTGAGCAGGGTCCTGGAAACTCCAAAAACATCTTATTGCTAGGATACAATGCAGCTGGGAGACCACTTTCTGATATTGCTTCTTTTAACACTGTACCAACTGTAAATCATTGCTTAAAATAACACTATAATAGGATTTTGTTTTTGCCTGACAGAACAGTAGGATGCTTATTAAAGGCTATGTACTGTAGTAGAGCATGTGCAATGAAGATAACAGGGACTTTTATCTATAGTATATCTCCTCCTCTGTGACCAGTATAGACTTTAAGGGGGATCAATGAGGGCCTTTACCCAACTCAACACTACTCCTCATGAAAAGACTAAGTGTTCCTGATAGGCTGGACATTTCTGTGGAAGTTTACCGCTAAAGGTTGACCAGTGAACTATTCCCACAGGCAGCAAGAATGACACAATTTGACTTAATTGCAACTGTATACTGAGGTTTAACAGACATTTGTTTGTAAGCAAGTTAACATCCATCAGTAACAACTGAGCTATGTAAAGAAAGAAGTCAGACTTGATGTGAAACGGCCTATTTTGTCTTTATAGGATATGTGTTGCAGCTAGAGTGACTCCTCCTTCCTCTCTCTCTGCCTCCTCCCCTCCCCCATTCTGTGTAAAAACAAATCTCCTTTTCTGCTCTGAGGCTGAAACTATTGAGTCAACAAATGTCACTGCAGCAAGGCAAAGGCTGCTGGGAAAGAGGTGGGGTCTCCCTTTAAGCCCAAACTGCAGCTAAAGGCAGATTATTTTCACCAACATGTTAGCAAAGTAAAGGAGGAATTAAATAGTGAAGTGAATGGAGATGGTATTGATTAATGAGCATGCCGGTTAAAGCTGTAGCCATATGTTAGGAAATGACTACAGGTTTTTTTTTTTTATTATGCATACATATACATATGATCACCAAATAGTGTTAATAGCATCAGTGGAACTGTTTGTGAGATTATGTTTATGACCTTTTAAAATCAAAGATGCAAAAACTAACACATTCTTACAAACTTTGCAAACTTAACCTCAGACTTACAGCTCTGCAATATGACCTAACACAGAAACCCACAACAAAAACCACAGCTGAGGTTTTAGCACTTGTCCAATTAAAACACTTAAAAGTCATGTTGTTCTAACAACCTTTTGAAGGCTAAATTTGTCTTTTAATCCACCCTCGGCCCCCTTTTCTCTCTCACACTGCTCTCTCTATCTCTTTCAAGCCCACGTGGCCGGTGTCAACAGGAGGTGGGTCTTGGCAGACACATGAAGCAAAGTATGCTGTCTGTCTGTATGCAAGCTGGAGAGTTGTCTTACACCCCACTCTAAAAATGAGCCAGCCAACCAGGCAAGGCGTGCCAAAATAAGACACAGCCGTTGGAAATTGAACACATTGCTCAACTGGTTGGGCTCCAAACTGTGGCCACATCTGATTGTTACTGTAATGCTCTCAAAAAGAGTGCTATTACACCAAAGGGGAACTTCTGTGACCTATGACAGAGGAAGAAAGAAAATGAAAGAAGGAAGTTGAGATAGACAGAGTGAAAAGGGAGGGAAAACCCCTGAGTTGGCTTCCTGTCTTAAAAAAGGAAGGGGGTGGAGGTACCTTCTACTCTGACACAGTCAGACAGTTGAGACCAGTGCAATATTCAACATATAGTGCACTGGGGTGGAGTCCTGTCCTGCTCACTGAATCCACTCCAGTGCTTTAGGGCAGCCATCATACTGTTCACTATTGTGTGCGGCTGAGGGAAGAAGAAAAAAAAGAGGAGGGAGCAGAGGGGGGAAAGAAAACCTGTCTCTTTGTGTGGGAAGGACTCAGCAGGAAAAGTGATTTTGTGATTATTTAGTTTTGCCAGCAAAGCAAGGCTCTTCCCCCTGACCTGCAACAACATTTTGTCCACTCTGCGTGCCTCTGCTGCCTTACACCAGAGCCACATATGAGTGTGCTTCTCAAGCCGGCAAACAGCGACACCCGGGCTTCTCCTGATGATGAGAGTCGACGTCAGAGTGGTTTCCATGAATATTGATGTGGAGGATAGTCTGTTTCATAGAAGAACAGAAGGAGGCAAGATGGCTGCCCTTTAGGATTTGTTAAAGAGGAGATCCAGACGGTTTGTTGGAATTTCTACAAAGTGGAGGGACGTAAAAAGGAGGTGAGAATTTGTTCAGTGGGTTAATACTCCGCTTATCCTTATCCCCTTTAACCTTGGGTGTGTTTTTGGTGGTTTTTGTGTCAGGCGAGGTCTAGCAAATGTCCCCCACCGTAAAAGCAAGAGCCAACATAATAAGGAGGGGATATTAGATAAAGCTACTCCAACATGGCTGACGATTTTCTTTCTTTCTTTTTTTTTTTTTTTTGCCAGATGAAATTCAAAGACACCTTCTCTGTTTCCCTGAGTGTTCTGTGTTCACTCAACATTCTTGTTGCTTTTGAATGCATCATAGAAAATGGTGCTCTTAGTCTGCTTGTTCAGGAGTTTTTCGTAAAGCATAATGTAAATGCCTGTATAGTGCTCTCTTTCTTTGCTTAACATTTCTACCTTGCTTTTTGTTAGGAGGCACATATTATTAAAGGTGTGCTTGAGTATGTAATATGTGTTACTAAATGAGTACATTTGTTTTAAGAGGGGGAAGGCATTTTTAACATTTATGTGTAATTAATGGCTATTATGAAAGATGGTGTTTTTATCTAAATATGTTTAGATGCATGAAGTATTGCCCTCTGTGGCTTGTTCCTTTCATATCCATAGCTGTGTAAGTGTTTGTATTGTTCAGGAAGGTAGACTATATGTAGGAGAGTAAAAGTCCAACCTGGACATGTCCAGCAGTAAGTGCATAGTGTCTGCACAGCAGTGGAGTAGCTTCTGGCTTTGTGTATCTCTGTGAATCAGCTTTCATTGCTTTCACCACTGAATGACAAGAAAACACAAAAGCAAAATCCCAAGGAGAAGCAAAGGAGAAGAGAACAGTGGTGGCAGAGTGTAGTGAAGGCAGACAAGGTCAGAAAGCTCTGAAGGAACTGTAACTCAATCCTACCGCACCATTAACTGGGGGAACAAGAATGGTAATTCTGGAGCAGGTTTCTCTCTTTTTTTTTCTCTTCTACTTTGAGGCTAAACAAGTGATGTGTTCTTTTGAAAACTGTGCTGTTGGTAAATAGATTATTGACACCACAAAGAGAAATATGTGTCTCTGTGTGATGTGTACTCATTTTTGTAGGAATTAGTTTAGAATAACAGCATGATGACTTGATACTTTGCCAGATAAAGAGAAATAAACTACAATAATAGAGGGATAGCAGTGAAGTAATCACCTGTTTACCCATACAATTTTGTGTTTTGTGCCAGAATGCAGATACTTTAGAAATGCACTGGTTAAGTATATGATAACATGTAAATTCAGATTTGTTATAGGACATCAGGTTTAATCTCAATTAGCAAATAGCTCATTTGTTGTTAGTTTTTTTTCCTGAATTCATTAAGTACTAGTACTTCAAGATTAACATCTGAATGGCCCATTAGAATATAACAGATCTCCCTTAGGTTTGTGTATTGGGTTTGTGTATTCTACTGACTACAGTCGTAATGTAGCTACAGCATGGCCTCAGGTAGAAAAAGCAAAATAAAGGCCTTGCCTGGAAGGTGAAGGATAATGACTGACCTTTAATTGGGCATTGTAGCTTCACAGTGTAGGCTGTCTGCAGGAGCAATGCAGGATTTCAGTTTTACTTCAAGTCAATGCTGAAGTTTTCTGAAACTGTTTCAGGTGAACACTGACATAGTGAAAATAGTTACATTTACAAAGTGAAATGCATGGATAGAAGAACAGTGAAGTCAAAATAAAGTCAGGTCCTTGTCAAATGATCGCCATGCTTTTTAAGATGGCGGGGAAAAAAAAAAGAGGAACGTTATCCTCTAACAGCCAAATGTTCCCCTTCTAGATTTGAATTAAGCATTTATTCTAAAATGCTCATGTTTACATGCTGCATTCCTGTGGATGCCTGCAGAGTGTGTGTAGCCTTTACACTACACACACTTTACCCTAAAAAAAAGGTATCTGCTTGTAGTTGAAGAGAATCCCATTTTTACTCCTCGTGAAATGTCAAGAAACTTTTGTACCAACAATGCTGGTGAGCCCCTCTGACGCAATGGCATGACAGTGTTTTGATATGGCAAGCATGGTCATTGACTCTGTAGTGTCAACACCAGTGCTTAAGCAGTGCTGTTCTCCATAGTATTCATAAAGTATGTTGTGACTGCACGAGATCAGGTGATCCATGCTTTTGTGTGCATGTGTGTGTGTTTGCGCACACACGCGTGCGTACATGTTTGGGTGTGTGTGTGTGTGTGTGTGTGTGTGTGTGTGTGTGTGGTGATCCCATTGCCCCATTCATAATGTTAAGACACTGTAGATAATGTTTCATGTGAATGACCAGATTAGGTCATTCCAGTTGGATTTTGTTGATTTTATGTACCTTGTAAACTTTAGAGATAAAATGTGTAAGATTGTTCTTTGAACAGCTCAAACTAGCTCACAACAAGGCAGGTCTGTATCTTGTGTATCAAGTAGACTATCTTTGATTCCTCTATTTATTTTTAACTCCCCCTTAAGCACATTAAACATCACATTCCACTCTATATCTGCTACATATCTAGATCTTTGGATGGATTGAATCTAACCCAGTTTACTGTATACTAATCAAAGCACATTATAAATGGTTGTCATAGTTTGAGTGTACAATTTGTGCTCCCCTTTGTGTTCAGTTGTACTGTACACAGGATTCACACATGCTAATCCTGACCTGCATATTATAAAATATAAACAAATAAAAACACAATCTTACTGGAGGTGTTTTCATGAGGCTCTGCAAGCTTGCTGTTACATCAGCAGCTGAAAAGGCACCAGGGCATTAATGGGCCTATAAGGAGGCTGAGTGGGGGAAGGGCCAGATAGATCAATCACATGCACATAGCTTCTCTCATCTATCCACACCTACAGATAAAGCCGTGTGGTTGGATTGCTCCTTCGTTATGGCCTTAAGTCCCCTTTATGTCACTCCCAAGGGAAAAGACAATATCACCTTTGGGAAGAATGTCTGGTTGCCATAGTGTTCCACAACAATGCTGTCCACTTACAATACCCAAGCCCTCACCCAAGCCTTCACCTCTGACCCTCTGTCCAGCCCACGCATCATATTTCCAGCCAGGGGCTGCTGCACTAATGACACAGAGAAACAGGCCCAGTGGCAGGCTAGACATTTTAGATTGCACTACCTGGCTGACTGGCTGGTCATAGCTCTCGACTGCTTTCCCGAGACAAAATGGCGAGATACTGAGTGTTGTATTGATTTCTACAATATTGATTTCCCTCTTGTCTGCGATTGGGGGTTGTTTTTCTACAGAGAGCAAGGGAGAAGCAGCAAAACCACAATCAGTTGTTTCTGCAATGGAATCTGGGAGTGAAAATGTCACTGTTTTACACACATTTTTATACATTCTCACCAACTTCACCATCAGTAATGCACAGCTGATCTTGTAATCAAAGCCAAGCTGCAAATTAAAAGCACTGAAAATGTGCAAAAAAATGTGGATTTACTGGATAAGGTTGAACGGTGTTAACTCAGTCATCCCTGTGGAGTTTTGATAGAGAAGGTTTAAATGCAGACTGTTTGTCATTTTAGTCATCATGATATTTGCATGAGTTTAACCATTTGCCGGATGGTTATCCGTGTAGTACTGATCAGGATCAAACACTCTTTTGACCGGTGAATAATTTCTTTATGTATGGTCAGTTGTGGGTTTGATAGAGTTGCATGCTTGTCCTCTCTGAAAATAACTTTAAAGAATGTCTATTAACTTAAGCCATATCACAAAAAATATGTCAGTTATCAATAACTGCCAAACCAGATCCACGCCAAACCCCAAAAAGAAAGAAAGGCTTTCCGTCCCGTATGATGTAATTATGGCTTGGGAGTGGTTTATTGGTCATCGCTGGGAATGTGCAGTAGTAATAATGCTTTTATGAGTCTGGCATACAAAAATGTTATCAGTGATTGCCACACCACACACTCTGTGAATCCCAAATACAACTCGTGGCCTTCTTTTTCCACGAGGCTGCGCGTTGTGAACCCGCTGAGGCGTAATTATGGAGTGAGAGTGATAAGGCTCTGTTTGAGTGGCACAGGGCTGGAGGGAGTGTTGCTGGCCCTGTGAGCATGTATCGATGTCAGGGTTTACCTCAGGGGTGAGACAGCAAGGGCAGCGACTCAAAAGCTTCCTCCACGTGAGCACACGCACATGGCCGCTCTGTTTACAAACACTATCCTGGCATTCTGCAGAGAGAGAGGCAAGTGAGATGTTACGTAACCGCCCCAAAGCGAATAGCATCTCTTCCCGCTTCTCGCCAGGCCGCTCCTCCTATGCTTGGACAATCTTCTTCAATGGCGTTTTTCGCCGGTTCCGCTAGTAGAAGCTAAAAATAAAAAAATAAAAAAAGAAATTAAGAGCCCCAGCTACAACAGCGTCTGTGCTCGAGAACGTGGCGAGAGTGAGAGCAGGTCTTTTCTTATGTTGATGCCACTTTGATAGCGAATAGCTCCTGCGAAGGTGAATGCCTCAACAAATCAGGAGAGTAAACTGGCTGTAAACTTTCCTGTCAAATCAGATGATTTCATAAACTCTCTTTACACTTCCAGCTTTGGGGTATTGAATCAAAATTGCAATATTTGTAAGGTTTCATGGACGGTGTCAACAGAAAACTCAATGCATGTTGTATATACAAACAACTCAATGTACCCAGACACTGGTATAGGCACATTTGACTCCATAGTCACTTTCCATCTTATTGCACTGCTTGACATGAGTTATATTCATAGTTGAAAAAACTTGGTTTGACAAAAATCTAGGGCTGATTTTAGAAGTAAAAGTAATCCTTGTCAATGTCTATGTAAGTTAAATTGGAAATGAAGCTAGTGCTCTTGAAAGGTAGGGTAAAAAAAGTTGGAATAAAAATTTTAAAAAATGTTGGAGTTTCAGTAATGGAAAGTGGAAAATGCCTCCTTACCAGCCATGAGGTGGCTTTCCAAACAAAGGCATAACAATGTGTGACGAGGTAGCAAACTTGCACACAGGCCGTCAATATGCCTTAGAAATCC